AAATATAGGAGGACTAACGGTTCAGATTCTAGGACTTACAGATTTTTATTTATTTGAATTACTTTTTTTCCCATTCGTGTAACTCTCGAAATATCAAACATGATTAAGTTTTCCCTTCATAGTATCTACCACAAGCATTTCAACCACACCATCCACACGCATAACTACGAACGAAACGCACTCTTACAGAAATCCTTAAAAAAGAAAAATAGAAAAAAAAATCCTACATAAAAGCACTCTCAACCCCCTCCTTCCCTCACCTTCCCCACGCCCCCCCCCCCCCTTCCCCCCCTTACTCACCCGACCCGCGATACCCGACAGCGCCCTCGTGACGGACACCGCAAATTTCGAGACAGCTCCTGTTCTTCCTCCCGGTGGTCCGCAAAAAGGGGGTGGGGGGGGGGGAGGGGGAAAGGGGAGGGGTGGAGGGATGAGGGGAAGAGGGGGAGCTCGACCCTGACCCCCGCCGCAACCTCGACGCCGCCGACGGTCAAACCCCAGCGGCCAGGTTGCAGAAGGTGCTGAGCCCTGACGCCTCTTTTTCCCCGGCGGTCAGAACGTCGACGAGCGCGTGTCTTCGTGCGGGATTTTGGACCTTAGCGCCGGCGGAGGGGGAGGAACGGGTGAGAGAGCGACCGGTGCGTGCGTGCGTGCGTGCGTTGCTTTTGCTTTGATTTTATTTCATTTTGCTTTGCTTGTTGTTGGCTCTGACTTATTCCTTCCTTTCCTTCCATTTTTTTCCTTCGTCTTTTCTCCCTGCTTCCCTCTCTCCTTAAATTTATCGCTCCTTTTTCCTTTCTTCCCTACCTTTCTCTCCTTCCCTCCCTCCCTTCCCCTCCTTCCCTCCCTTCCTTTTATCGCCTTCCCTCCTACCTTTCTCTCCTTCCCTCCCTACCTTTCCTTTCTTCCCTATTCCATTCCTTTCTTCTCTTCCCCTTCTCCTTGTTCTGTGCTTGCTTGCTCACCTGTCACCAGTTTTAGGAAAGCTACTTTACATAATAAACACACGTCGGTACACCCCCTCCCTCAACCCGTCTTCCCCCTCCTCCTATACCCCCCTCCCCCTCCCCCAACCCCGTCTTCCCCTCCTCTATACCCCCCTCACCCCCTCCCCCTTTCCCCTTTTCTCCACCCCCCATCTCCCCTTTTCCCCCACCCCCAGTCCCTTAATAAAGTGCATGAATGTTTTTTAATGTTTTTTTTTTCAAAGTTCGGTCATGACGAGCTAGATAAGGTGGCCATTGCAACACGATCATGATTGCGAAATCACAAGAAGTGATCATGCAACAGCAGAGAGAGAGAGAGAGAGAGAGAGAGAAGAGAGAGAGAGAGAGAGAGAGAGAGAAGAGAGAAGAGAGAGAGAGAGAGAGAGAGAGAGAGAGAGAGAGAGAGAGAGAGAGAGAGAGAGAGAGAGAGAGAGAGAGAGAGAGGAGAGAGAGAGAGAGAGAGAGAGAGAGTGAGAGAGAGAGAGAGAGAGAAAGAGGAAAGATAGAGAGTGAGACAGAAACAGAGACAGAGTCAAAAACATAAAGAGAAAGAGAAAGAGAGAGAGAGACGGAAAAGAAATAAATAGACGGACACGACATAAAAAGGATGGAGATTCAGTTTTTTATTATTCAAGCTCCGATTTTATCACAGTAATTCGCTTATGATATTATGAATTGCAACACCAGCTGTCGATTCGAGAAAGCGATATGCAAGTTTATGCAGAAGGGAAATAAGTAATGATAACAATAACGAAATAAGGAATAAATAAAGAATGACGGGAAGAAATGAAGAAAATAAGTCGGTCAGTTGAGAATAATAAAAGATAAAGAGATAAAGAGGAAAAGAGACGAAGGAGAAGGAATAGAATGAGAAAGAACGAAAAAGAATAAGATATAAGAGGAGGAACACAAGTAGACAAAGAAATAGAAAGAGAAGGAAGAGGAGGAGGAGAAGGAACAGAAGGTGGAGGAAAGGAGGAGGAGAGGAGGAGGAGGAGGTGGCGAGTGTCATGGCCTCAGGTGCTCAGTGCTTGCTTCGTTGATAGCTCCCACCCCCCCTTCCCCTTCCCCTCCTCCCCCATGTGGGCCAGACCCTGCGGTAGCGCCCTGGGCAGTGGTCAGATCCCTCCTTAACTCAAACCACCCCTCCCTCCCCTCCCTCCTTTCCTTCCTCCCTCCCTCCTTCTCCCTTCCCTCCCTCCCTCACTCCCTCCCTCCCACACCCACCCACGGCGCCCGCGAAACACGCCCATGGGAATTCACTGTCCAGGTTCCGGCGCCAGGCACAAGTAGGCGCTCTAACCTTCCTGGGTAGGTGAGGTAAATTTAAGGGAGGGGGGAAGGGAGAAGGACGGGGAAGGGAAGGGAAATCGAGAATAAAGAGAGGGAGAGAAGAAGAAATGAGAATGAGAGGAGAAAGGGGAAGGGAGAAGGACGGGGAAGGGAAAGGGAGAATAAAGAGAGGGAGAGAGGAAGAAATGAGAATGAGAGGAGAACGGGGAAGGGGGAATAAATAGAGGGAGAGAGGAGGAAATAAGGAGAGAGAGAGAGAGAGAAAGGCAAAAACCGGAAATAATGCAGGAGGTAAGAAGGTCGTGCATATTTTCCACTGTTTATTTCAAACTTTATTTATTTCCTAAATCGACCTGCATTTGTATATTTTTCCGTTTTCCTATTGCTTCATTTGTTATCACTTGGAAGTCTTCTCTTCTTTATCAAAATATTTATCATTGTTATCATATTGTTTATTGTTGTTTTTTTAATATATATAATCGTGTTTGTTGTTATTTTATTTTCATTCTGTTCTCGTGTGTGCGTG